AAGTTTTTACTGGTTGACAACCTTGTTTAGATCATTGAAGTTAAAAATCCTATCATAGATCCTACTTCAAGGTGGGCTTATTTTATCTATATTGTTAAAAGGTTGAGAGAGAGAGAGAGAGAGAGAGAGAGAGAGAGAGAGAGAGAGAGAGAGAGTATTATGTTTTCAATGAGGTCAAATGGAACAAGAGAGGCTTTTATGTTTCGGAAATTAGTATTTGATTTTATGAGGCCGAAGCTTGCTAGGCAGTGAAGTGGTCCGTGAAGGTTAATAAAAGTTGTGTTAAGCAAGCAGAGTAGTCAAGTCATGAGAGGCAAAAAAAAAAATATATGAAGCAACGGATTGAGCTACATGAAAGCCCTTGTTCGTGGTCAATGGGTCATTGGTTCAACTGATGGGTCAACTGGTTGAATCGACCTTAAAATAAAAATACAATAACTATACTAAAAAAATATAATATATCTAATAAAAACAAAATAATCACAATATGTATTGTGACGTCCCTAAAATCGGGGGTCCTTTGTCAACCGTTGATCATCCGTCAACCTGCGGAAGTACGTGTGATTGTCGCACAACCCGAAATCACGCCGATAACATCCCCTTAATCGGGATCATAACCCATTTACATACTTTATCATTTATCAATTCATGGTCCTTTATACCTCAATTCATAGTCATTTATGTCACATATAATCCCTTTGAGCACAAGGAATCGTTGCTCAAGAGTTTGGTAAAACGTTTCAAAAATTTGAAGTTTGTAGAAAAACCTACCGGTAGAAGTGTTCAAAAAACCTGTCGGTAGAAGATGTGTACTGGACTCCTGTTTTTAGAAAATCGGTGAAAACCTACCGGTAGAAGAAGTCCTTGTTCTACCGGTAGAAAGTGCTTACTGGAATTCTTGATGTTCTACCGGTAGATAATGCCTACTAGACCACATCTACCAGTAGAAGAGCTCAACTTCCTACCGGTAAGTGTGCCCAGAATTACCTATTTCATCCGTTTTCGATTTTCAATCCCCTCCATGTCAACCCAACACATGTATAATGAAGTTTTCACATCAAACATAGTTCGTACAAGTTCGATTACAATCATTTTTATATAATTATATCCCCAAAACCGAATTACATTAAAATTTTACAAAACATAGTTTAAAAGCCACAAATCGGCTTTCCTTCATCCTCGAGGCCTCGAAAGAGAACCTTCCACTGGTGTACTTGAAATGTTTTTCCATAAAGGGTGAGCCATACTCAATAGGGTATTTCCTAAAGAGGCTATTCACCAATCTAGATGCATATGAAATGTCATATGCAATTTCAACAAGCCACAAAGTATTTCAATCAAGAATATGCAACTCAATGTTAGAATTCACCATGCCATGATTTGAGATGAGACTCACTCATGCACATCAACCCGAGCCCTCACTGGTTCCCTCAACACATGCAAATACCATGCGTGCAAATCTGGGCATTCCAAGCCCCTATCATTGATGTTACATATTCAATGACCATTTAAAATCTCCGGGTACTTTTTGGAGTGGGTATTTATGGACTTACACTAACAAACACTCAACCGACACGGAGTTCATGGACTTCTACCAATGGTTTCACGTAAACCGACACACTTTATGGATTAAACCAAAGGAGTGCGTATCCTAATAACCGGGTTTTTCACCTAAGGGATAGTCTAGTGCTTCTTGTTAACCCCAACCCAATTTTCAATGCAAACCGTGCTACTCAGTCGGGTCTTTGATTCAACTTTTCCGAGCCCATCCATCATCCACCAAGTGTGGTGTTTGATGACAACTATACACACACACCCACACTCATGCGGAATGCCTATGAATGCGATGTCTCCGTGCATATGCACTGTAATATACGATTTCAATACTATATCATATTCAATATATATGAGTGCCATATGAACAATCTCAACCACATTTCAACATACACCATAGTTAATTATATCATAAACATATAATTTTTATAAATCTTCATAATGTGAATACATTATCTAGCATATATCAACATCTACATTCAACAACAATTTTTCAAGTATGTTATACATAATTTATGCAAAACACACTTGATTTCACATAGAAATTAAATCAAATACTTTCACAACATTAAATCATTTAATAACATAAAATACCCAATTTTATCACATAACTTAAGAAATTACATGAAGTAATTTTTACGTACCCAATTCTAAATAGAATTTATTCTACCCATTTCTAATACCCATTTTATCAATTTACAACAATAGGCAAATGTTAAATACATCTGACAACCTATCCATTTCATATAATCACCCTAGGTTGAAACTAACCTAGTTAGAATGAAAACCTTACCTCTTGAAGCGCAAAATAACTGTAGGAAGTTTCAAGAACTCAATAAGTTTTAATCCAAGCTTTCTCCAAAATCTCAATTTTGAAAATTCGGTGAAATCTGTCCTTTTTGGTATGGTTGCGTAGCCCACAACGAGGAGATCGACTTGTGTTGATTCGAACGACTGAAAGGCATAGATTGTTGGGAGAAGTTTGAAAATCTCTCTTTTTCCCTCTCTTCCCTCTCCAACGTGAAGACCCAGCTGAAAATGGGGATAAAATCAAATTTTCTCTCCTATTTATACCCTTTAAATGCTTGGTTCACATTTTGCCACACATTTTCCTTTTTCAGGTCCGATTTTGACCCGAATCGATTAAATTTCATCCCGGTTCAAGTTCAAAATATTTTTATTTCAACTTGTTTTAAATTATTATTTAATTTTTAAAAATTTTATTTTTGAGTTCATTTATGAGGTCATCCGACACCCGATCGCTTCGTAAAACGCGAAAAATCTGACTATCTTGGAATTTGACGAAAATTGACGGGACAACTAGATTTCGCGAGACGAATCTAACGGTGAGGTCCGTTTCGTCATTTGAGTTTTAGAAAAATTTGAGTTTTTAACTCGTACTGTAGTGACAAATTACTGTTTTGCCATTTTTTATAAAAAATTCAAATTTACCCGAGTTTTACATGTAAAGATTATAGAAATATAGTTCTGGTACACAAAACTACACCTAGAGCATGAAACTACAAGAATTCTGACTGTATGTCAACTAATTTGATGACTTATAATTGATAATAAAAGCTCAACTGGTGGTAATGGTCACTGGCAAACGGAAAATACAAAAATGACAAAAGAACAATTCTACTTCCTCACCTGTCAAATTTTGGTTGCTTCAAGTAGTGAAATAACAGATTCTTTAGAAAGGTGCCCAAATGAGAGAGACCCAAATGAAGACCTTAACTACACCCAATATTTGACTTTGATTGCATATACTTTTGAATCAGACAACCTCATAAATAAAACCTCACCATATGACTTATCACATCAAAATTGACCAAACACAGTACAAAGCTTCGTCTCAGAAAAGTAACTGTTCAGAAAAAAAATCCAACAAAGTAAGAATTAAAAAAAAACCTGTGTCAAAACACAAAGTTATTGAGTGATTTCTTATTCTCTGTGGACTGTGATAGAAATTAGGGAAATGGGGTTTGTGAAAGAGATGCAACAAATTACCTTGTGATGAAATCAAACTTTAGAGAGAAGATGGTGAGCTGAACTTCCGGAGAAGGGATCACATATCATGGACGTGGAAGACTGAAGACAGATGAGCCGATGAGGTCTGGTCTTGATCTGAGCTCATCGCAGCAACAAAGAGATAGAGAGAAGAAGAACAAGAAGATGGCCTGAGTGAAAATGGTGGGAGTGAGCGCCACTGATATCCCAATTCTGAGAGTTTGAGAGTTGAGGCCTTGAAGGAGATTGAGGAATTGCACATGGCTGGCTGCATTTTGTAAGAGATAATGCGACCCGCCCGGGTTTCCACAGGCTCCTTAAAACCCGTCTGGTTTCCAGGGGTCATTGGCAGTTGAATTATTTGAACTATATCCAATAACAGAACCTGCCGGGTTATGGCATCGGGTCATCGGTTTTTCAGGTTGACTTGCTGATCCGGTCCAGTTTTGATAACTACGATTGTGTTGGTAATTAGAGGCAGTTACAAATCAGGAACTCAATCACTCAATCTTCTCTCAGAGATCCTTTGTCGGTAGTTCACATTCAACTGCTGTTATACTCCTGTGGCCTTCTTTTTGGCATTTTCTACTGAATTTCTATTTGGTCTCTGACAAAAAGGATTGAGGTTGGATGAGTAGCAATTGGTAGTATAATGGTTGGAGACATTTGCACTGAGAGTTGCTATTGCACCTTCTCTGTTTCAATGCATCACTTTGTTATTGGCAATGAGTTCTTCATTTTTAATAATTCTGTCTTTTTTCTCCTTAAAAGAAAGAAAATAATGAGACATTGTATATGTTGGTTGCATGCAATGTGGATTGAATAGATGCAAATGTGGATCTTCTAACTGGATTGATCAATAGTTATACTATTTGTTGGGAATCGTTCAAGTTGCGATGGGGTTAATCTTATTTTTGATGTTATATTAATTATATATATATAAATATTACATACATGAACTATAATTTAAGATGGTTCATGCCCAAAGCGCATGTGCACCAAACCAAGTAATAGGTTTTTAAAGTCTAATTGTGTCATGTTAGTGGGATTTGAAGTGGACCCAAATCAACCAACACATCATGTTTTAATAATTTAAATGGGGTGGGTTCGGTTACCCTCTTAATAACTAGGTTAGACAATTATTTGGATTTGTCAATATAGTCGAGCACCTTTGTCTCAACATGAAGCAATCTCGACATGACATAATCCAATCACCCTTGTTTACCCCTTCGGTGGAATTGAGTGTAATTGCAAGCATCACTGTACGTTTTAAAGCATGATTCAGTTTAAATTCCCTTTGATCTCCCTGTGACACTGAATCTTCCCTATTTTGATTATGCCATATTTGATTGCAATGAATTTCGTTATTTTATTTCTCATCATATCCTCTTTTAATTGGAAAACTCGAACGTTTTCTCATGGTTATCTGATGTGCAGGTTTATCTGAAGGCAAATGCTTAAAGAGTGTTTGAGCTTAATGCGTGGCTTACAGAGAGGCCGAGCTATTTGACAAGATGAGTTGCATTCAAACAACTGCTTGCCTTCCTGCTGACAACGTCACAAGTATATGCTCTTCATGGCATGCACTTTCTATGCCATGGGATGCACGTCAATCCTTCAAGGCTTCTCTGAAAGTGAGTTCATTTGCATTACCTTACCGGAATACAACATATCCTAAGGCATCCTTGAAATTGACTGCTGCTGCATCTAGATATGATCGATGTGCACCTGTTTGTTTATTTGGTTGGAAAGGGAAGTCAGAGAATGACAATAAGGTAACTTTCTGATTGGAGTTCTTTCTTTCTGTTTATGATTTAGTTAAATACTTTAATTAGATTTTCATCTTATTTTATTGTGAATAAAAGAATGAAGAATATGTTCCAATTTCTGGATAAATGCACAGCTTTGCCTGCAAGTGATTCCCTATCATCTGATCTGCCCCAGTTGGATATTCCTTCTAGTTTAACGCCACGTGGGACAAAATTTCCTTGTTTTAAGGGACAAAATTTCCTTGTTTTAAGACTTTTTTGTGATTGTTTCCCAACCACACCAAAAAAAATGGGGCAGATTGAATGACATCTCTCCACTTCTGGCTAAATTCAGTGTCTTGCATGCGAATTGCTCCAAAAGGAAAAAAATCCCATTTTTTCAGGTTCCTTTTTGTGGTTTATTTCCCAATTCCTAGCCACAAAGAAAAGTGGGGCAGGTTGAATGGCAATGCATTTAAGACCATGCTCAGAATGGGTGGCCATTCTATTCTCTTGTACCAGAATGCAAGGCATACATATTTGATAATTTTGGTTGAACCTGAGTTGACCCATTGTAATCTGTTCTAATATATTCAACCCTGATATGACCTGCCCATTATAGTGATCATGATAGCCCATGTGGTCTGTTTTAACATGGATGTTGTGTTATATTGACATGCTAACCTTAAACTTATACATGTTACCCCATTAAAACCCGTCTTACCCATTTATATCAACAGCAGCCGGTGTTGTTTTTCTTTTAATGAGCAATAGTGAGAGAGAAGCTTGCAGACTTCCAGTTATCTGGAACTGTATTTTTGTCCATGCTAAACTTCAAATTGTTTTTAGGCTTCTCTTTGGAATGCTATGGGAAGTTTGAAGAAAGAGTCAGTCGAGCATGTATTGCCGCAGCAAATCCAAAAACAAGCATACTATGATGATGGAGGCAGTGGTAGGAATCGTCCAGGTGGTGGGTGGTTCTGGTGGTTCAAAGGATGAAGGCCGTTCTGGGAACTTGGATGAGCTGCTACAAGTGATATTGGCAACCATTGGCTTCATATTTCTCGTAATAACTCTCTCTCTCTATTTAACTCCTTTCCCCCCCCCCCACAAGATAAATCAAATGTTGTGGTATTTCAATCACACACTATCACTCACTACCCATTTATATGGGTTGCTGTCAGAGTGGAGAGAATGACACATTCTATTTTTTTTTATAATTCATTTTAGATCATACTCAACTGGATATGCACGACCAAAGGTATATTGTGTGCTTCATCATTTGAAAATAAAATAGTACTGTGGTTTGGGTCAAATTCAGTTTACCCACATTGGAGACCCATCTGTAGTCTGTAGAAATGAAATGAACATATTGATGAAACTAATGGGGATGAGTGCATGCTATATATTATTTCAGACGGGAAACTGGTATTTTAGGGATGGATGTTAGATTTATTACATTTCAATGTCATAAAGATGTAAAATGTAGAAGTCTTACAAGTCAAGTGATCATAAGCGCCAGAAAGCAATGATGGCCTTCCGGTCGTGCTCTCATTTAACTCTTTCTTAATGAATAACCTGCCTAGCCTATTGCCTTCATTTCAGTATATTTTCATCACTGAGGACATGAGTTAACTCTGTTAGCAAAAGACTACATCAAATTTCTCTTTGGAGGACAGAAGAGTTTCCGTCTAAAGCGTTCCATGGACAACTGGGGGAAGTTCTTCCAGAGGCTGACAAGGAAGCAGGAGGTTGAACCACATTGGTTGAAACTTGAAATTATCAATTCTCCTATGTGGTGGGACAGCCCAGAAAAATATAAGCAGATCCTCAGGGCTTACCTAGCATCAACGTCTTGTTAGAGTATAGTAACATCTTAATATTAGGGGTGGTTTAGTCTTTTATTTTATTTTTTGTTGTCCTAATATATATGGGTGTCTATTGTTTATCTTTAGGTTAAGGTGATTGTAGCAAACTTTTGTAGTCCCAATGACATCTTCTCTTATTTTCTTTCTCATTCTCTATTCAATAATCGTTATTTTCATAGTATCAGAGCATGATATTTGATCCTAATCACGCTATTGACATAGTAAAACAAATTAGAAGATTTTTTAATCGAAGAACAATGGGTGACACCATCACATGCATGATGATATCATCAACCAGAATTCTTGAAGACCAGCAGCAGGTTGATCGATTTTTCGTGGGCTACAATATTGTGCAATTTGTTTTTGGTTTGGAGTTCATCTAGTAGAGTTTTCGATTTTTTGAAACTTTTTTTTCGAAAAATGTGGCCGAAATTCTTGATCTGTGAATTTGGTAAGATTTCTTCGACGTTTCTGTTAATAATCTGCTCCACAAGGTGCGATTTAGGGTTATTTATGATTGATTGAAGGTTTTGAAGCATCTTGGATGGATTTGTGGAGGTTTTTTCCGAAAATCTGCTTCTAATCTCTCTTGGTTTCTATTTTTTTGGGTTTTCTGCTCTTGAATCTTCTTCTGTTTGCTGGTTTGTTGATTTTTGCATTTGCTGAGTTGTCACTTTGCTGGATTGTTTATTTGTTCCTTAGGGCTTGCTATTTGATATAGGGTTGCATTGTTTCGCACTGAATAAGCGGGAAACTTTTGTTTCCTTGCTTATTGATTGGTGGGTTTGGAACTGAGTTGGGCTGAACGGATTTATGTTGGGTTTGGCTTGGGCTTATTAATTTTGTGTTGAATTTGGGCTGCCAACAAGTATTTTTAATAGTAAATTAGCCTAGGATAGTTCCTTTGGTGTATAATTTAATTTTAGTTGTACCGAATTTTTAGTATAAACAAAGTCTAGTGATTTAAAAAAACATCATGCATTCCTGTGTTGGTGCTGTTCCAAGAAAAGAAACATATTGCGAAACTGGCCGTCGATGCTGTTACGAGGCTAAAGGTGAGTAGTTCCTTCCCATTAGTAGCCTAGGATTAGGAGTATAACTTGGGCCCGTTGGGCGGGTTGAGAGGTCAAGGTATGTAATCTTCAATCTTAATCATAACACTAATCTTACCTCAACCCGAGGTATTTAATTTGAGTACTATCCGAGTTTAATTCAGGTTGGCTCGGGTTGAATTTAGGTTATTTGATTTGAGTTGATTTCGAGTTAAAAATTAGGTTGGACTTGAATTACTTAATTCGAGTTGATAAAAAGGGAAGGAGTGACGAGTGAGAGAGAAATGAGAGAGAGAGGCTGAAAGTTTGAGACCAGATGTGAGATGAGTGACGAGTGAGAGAGGGATCTAAGAGTGTTGGAGGCGCAAGGGTGAAGACTTAAAGTGAAACAAAAGTATAGATTTTGAAAAGTGAAGATAAATACTAATCCTAGTTAAATATATTTATATACTCAGGTTAAACCTAATTTTAACAATCGAGTTCAACTCAATTTTAATATTCGGGTTCAACTCGATTTTAATATACAACAATTCAAGGCCTCAACCCAAGATTTACTCGAATTCAATGTGGGTTAGTTTTTTTTGCCCAATTTCAACTTAAATATTAAAAATTTTAACCCAAGTTCTTTTTTTTGGGGTTGGGCTCGGATTAGCCCACCTAAATTGCACCTCTACCTAGGATTGGATAAAACGTAGAACTGCAATTTTGGAGTTAGAAGGGGAATTTTTTTTTTTTGAAAATGAAACCAAGTATTACTCTCAGATCATGATTTGAGTTGAGCGTATTTCACTTTTATTGAACAAATCATTGAACTTCGTTCACAATAAAAAGGCACATTTACCACTTGCTTGGCGCTTTGAATATAGATATATGTCATTTTACATGGATTTATTACGATGACGTCTAATGATCAGTATTTATGAAAAAGAAGATATCATTAATGATCTGTGTTTTAATGTATTTGTCTAACGATTTGTGTTATAGTGTACCTGTCTAACGATCTATATTTTACTGTACCTGTTTGACGATGTGTTTATGGAAAAGGAGGTACATGGATGATCTGTGTTTTAGTGTATTTGTTTGACGATTTGTGTTTTAGTGTATCTATTTGACAATCTATATTTTAATGTATCTGTCTGACGATTTATGTTTATGGAGGAGATACATTAATGATATGTATTTTAATATACTTGTTTGACGATCTTTGTTTTAGTGTACATTTTTGACAATTATTGGATATATTTTTTTTAGTACACCTGTCTTACAATTTGTGTTTGTGGAGAACAATGTAAATTATGATGACGTAACTTTTTAGAATAAATATTTAAATTAGGTGATGATATTATCGTTATTTTTTGTAATTATAAAAAACGTTAGTTATATCTATTACTTTGACTTTTTAACAGAGATCTAATTCAAAAGAAAATTAGCGAGCGATTTTTTTTTTTTTTTAGAATCTTATTGGCCTAGAGACCAGCCTTCAAATCGTACTATTTTTAATACTTTTTTTTTTTATGTTGGTCTTGCGGTTTTGTGCTAGATTTGAGCTACAATAACTATTTGGGACACTTTTCATTTACAATATGAGAAGTGGTAATTTGATTCTCTTCCGACCATCAGTGAGATTGCTGGTCAGTTGCAGATGTTTTTATTTTTTCATCAACCTGGTGCCCTCTCAATTTCTCTCTCAGTAGGCTCATTCACTTCAAATTCTTCAGCTATATCTCGAACAACCTATACCTTTTGCTTAGGTGCCATACATCTAATGACTAGTTATTCCTCTTTATTTGCATCTTTTGTCTCTTCTTCTTGTATATAAGTGTTTGCAGTTAATGACACTCAAATGTTTTTGGCTAGTGTTGGGTTCCCTATTTCTCACCAACTCACAATTTCAGATGTCTATTACATCCGTTAGCTTACTTTGAACTTAATTTTAGTTATTCAACTATTTAATTCTAATTTTTTGGTTTATTTTTCTTCCTCTAGTTGTGTTGAGCAGGATCCACAGTGTAAGAAATTGATTGCGACATGTTAGGAAAGAGAGAGTTATATGTGTTGGAAGAACTAGAGGTTCAAGATATTGTTATTTTTTACCATTGATTTAACTTTATTTTGTTTGAGTATAGAGTCATTTAGTTTTTATTTGTGACATTTTTGTCTTGATCATGTCTCTCATTTATATTTGACATTTGTATTGGGGTTTTAATTGAAAGTTATCCATGAAACTAACATTTTATCTTATTTATTTGATTTAAAACTTTCAAATTCAACAAAAATAAAGGCTAAATATAGAATTAAATCTAATTTTACCAATCGATTAGGAAGGGGTGTTTCTAGTGGGACATATAAAATTCAAAGTTTCAGCATAATTTGTCATTTCCTTGATGAGCAAAATGCAAAGTTATGAATTATTTGAGTTTACCCAGTGCAATAATGATCGAAATTCATTTCATTTTCTTCTAAATGATTAAATTATTCTGATTGCGGCGAATTTAATAAAGAATTAGCGATATAGAATTTAAAATTTTATATTTCTGCATTTTTGGAATGATACAAAAATCAAAATCTCAATTCTTTTTTTTTAAATTCTATTTTCAAAACATTTAAAAAATATTTTTATTTTCGAGCTTATCAAAATTATGCACCAAACAAAAGTTTTATCGCTATTATATTTGTACTGAGATTTGAGATTGCTCGTCTCTATATATTTATATATAAAAAAAAACTCATGTCTGTCTATTGACTTTGAAGAATTATTGGAGTGAGTGGGGTGGTCAAGTGGGGCAATTTCATTTACTTTTGGTAGACCCTACCCAACCAAACCCGGGTCCGTTCACCACCTAATTTAGGCAGGGCTCGCTTTATGAGTACCACAAAGATTATAATAATAAAAATAAGTAAAAAAAAATTTATGTGTACAAAGATTATGTCTATGTTTGAGAGAATATATCAAAAATTTGATATTTTATTCCTATAATATTAATTAAATATATTAATCGTGTTAATTTTATATTAATTATATTTGACACTAACTTGACGTATTTTTTAGTCCTGATAACTAATCCTGCCATTTACTTCT